CCAGGGTTCATAATGTCCAGGGTACGATATGCCCAGTGTCGAAATGGCCAGTGCCTTGAATAGGCCAGAGTTCATAATGTCCAGGGATTGCATGGTCCAAATGCGGCCAACTGGCTGCAGATAGGGTATATTCAAAGAGGCCAGGGTTCATAATGTCCAGGGCACGATGTGTCCAGTGTTCGAAATGGCCAGGGTTCATAATGTCCAGGACACGATGTGTCCAGTGTTCGAAATGGCCAGGGTTCATAATGTCCAGGGAACGATGTGTCCAGTGTTCAAAATGGCCAGTGCCTTGAATGGGCCAGAGTTCATAATGTCCAGGGATTACATAGTCATTGAAAGTGATGTCATTATGTAAAAACACGGAACCAGCTCAATGCGAAGCAGTGCAGTGCCGAAGGCAATGCCTTAGGAGAGATTACAGGCAATAGTAAATCAAATATTTTTAGGTTAAGTGGTTATGTATCTGGCTTCAGGCCGAAGGCCTGAAGCCTGATGCATAACCACTTAACCTAAAAATATTTGATTTACTATTGCTTGCAATCTATTCATGCGAGAAACTATTTCCTTATCCCCGGTAGGCAAACATCATTACCTTAGGTTAGGTTAGGTTAGGTTAGGTTAGGTTAGGTTAGGTTAGGTTAGGTTAGGTTAGGTTAGGTTAGGTTAGGTTAGGTTAGGTTAGGTTAGGTTAGGTTAGGTTAGGTTAGGTTAGGTTAGGTTAGGTTAGGTTAGGTTTGGTTGACTGGACACTATGAACTCTGGCCAATTCAAGGCACTGGCCATTTTGAACACTGGACACATCGTGCCCTGGACATTATGAACCCTGGCCATTTCGAACACTGGACACATCGTGCCCTGGACATTATGAACTCTGGCCATTTCGAGCACTGGACACATCGTGCCCCGGACATTATGAACCCTGGCCTCTTTGAATTTACCCTATCTGCAGCCAGTTGGCCACATTTGGACCATGCAAACCCTGGACAATATGAACACTGGCCAATTCAAGGCACTGGCCATTTCGAGCACTGGACACATCGTACCCTGGACATTATGAACCCTGGCCATGGGTGCGTATTATTTAGGCCAGGGTTCATAATGTCCAGGGCATGATGTGTCCGGTGCTCGAAATGGCCAGTGCCTTGAATTGGCCAGTGCTCATATTGTCCAGGGATTACATGGTCCAAATTAGTGGTGTCATTTTCCAAAAAGTGGCTGACCGATACCGACCGAAACCGAAATTTGGGAAACATTTCCGACCGAATACCGACCGATAACATCCCAAGCCAAAAATTGACCGAAATTTGACCGAAATTCTAGAGTTGCTATTATTTTACCCCCCAAATTAAATTATTTGGTAAATTCTGTTTCAAAATAATGGGAAATAGCATTTCAGTCCAAGTTCAGTCAATTCTTAGCCACTGCAAAATACATTTTGTGGTAGAAGTTACATTGCTAAGGGTCATAGGTGTAGGAACAGGGGGGGACGGGGGGCCGGTGGCCCCCCAACTTTTCATAGTGGGGGGCCAGTAATGTTAACTGCCCCCCCACTTTTTGCTGAACTTTTTAATGTATTTGTAGGTATCACCCCGAAGAACAAACTTGACGGTTCTCTGGCCTGCCCTTCCATGAAGATTTCCATTTGTGCTTCATCGTTATTGAGTGCAATTTTCCTCCACCCAATTAAAGGTAACTTTGTCAGAAGCAATAAGTGGCAACTTAGGGGCAGCGCGCGCTGCAAAGAGAGACAGTACTGGCGCAGCAGAATGCGTAAACGGCGTAAACTAACAATTTATGCTAGGCGGCCTTGCATTAGTTGATCGGTTACTGGCATAGGCGTAGGAACAGGGGGCAGGGGGCAATGGTCCCCCACTTTCGAATGGGGGCCAGCAATGTTAAGTGCCCCCCCCCCCACACACACACCTTTTGCTGGCTTTTCACTTCTCACGTTTCACGCTCGCTCGTAATAAAAAATGTTTTTGGATGCATCTGGAATTCGCATGGGTGCCAACCAGTGGCGGATCCAAGGTGGGGTCACATGGGTCATGCCCCCTTGGGGCCCGGGGGCACCACAGGCCTACCAGGGGCACCACAGACCTGACAGGGGCACCACAGACCTGACAGGGGCACCACAGACCTGACAGGGGCACCACAGACCTGACAGGAGCACCATCGGCCTAGCAAGAGCACCACTGGTCTGCCAGGGGCACCACAGACCTGTCAGGGGCACCACAGGTCTTCCAGGGGCACCAAAGGCCCTTCCAGGGGCACCACCGGCCTCGCAGGGGCACCACCGGCCTCGCAGGGACACCTTGGGCCTGTCAAGGGCACCACGGACCTGTCAGGGCACCTCAGGCTTGTCAGGGCCCAGGAGCACTCTATTCCTTTCAGGAGCACCACAGGCCTGTCAGGGGCACCAGAAGCCTAGCAGGGGCACCGCAGGTCTGCCAGGGACACCACAGACCTGCCAGGGGCATCACAGGCTTGCCAGGGGCACCCACTGGCCTCGCAGGGGCACCTTGGGACTGTCAGGGGCATCACGTGCCTGTCTGGGACACTTCAGGCTTGTCAGGAGCACCACAGTCCTGTCAGGGCCCAGGGGCACCAGCGGCCTAGCAGGGACACCACGGCCTCGCAGGGGCACCACCGGCCTCGCAGGGGCACCACCGGCCTCGCAGAGGCACCATGGGCCTGTCGCTGGTACTTCAGGCTCGTGTAAGGAGCACCACAGTCCTTCCAGGGGCACCACAAAGCTGTCAGGGGCACCTGCGGCCTAGCAGGGGCACCACAGGCCCGCCAGGGGCACCACAGGCCTGCCAGGGCAAAAACAAATAAATAAAAAAATGAAAATAGGGCACCACAAAAATTAAGTGGCCGAAATCAGTTGAGGTTTTAATTTTGGGTACAGGTAGGGGCACTACTTCGATTCATGACCCTCCCCTTGGAGTTTTCCTGGATCCGCTCCTGGTGCCAACGCGGCTACGGAGGCCAGGGGGACGCGTCCATGAGATTTAATTTCTGGACGGGAGTCTCCCCGAGATTTTGGTCGATTTTTTTTTTCTGGTCACGTTTTTTAACCAATTTGAGCATGCTGCGAAAATAAAGTGGCCGAAATCCGAGGAGAAAATGGATTTTGGGTGTAGGTGAGGTTTTGTGCCTCTGGGAGCCTGGCCCCCCCCCCACTTTCGAAAACGTTCCTACACCTATGCTAAGGGTAGATTGCAGGGTACATTGGCTAAGGGTACATTGCATTTAACTTGGTAAAAATAGAATGCTTTCTGATTTTGAAAATGGTTTCACTGACAGGGTGACCGAAAATGTCCGATTTTTGGGGGGCCTGACCGACCGATTACCGAATCGGTCAGCACATCTTTTCGGTAACCGAATTTTTCGGTAACCGATTGACACCACTACCGTAATCTCTCCTAAGGCATTGCCTTCGGCACTGCACTGCTTCGCATTGAGCTGGTTCCGTGTTTTTGACATAATGACGTCACTTTCAGTGACCATGTAATCCCTGGACACTATGAACTCTGGCCTATTCAAGGCACTGGCCATTTTGAACACTGGACACATCGTGCCCTGGACATTATGAACTCTGGTCATTTTGAACACTGGACACATCGTGCCCTGGACATTATGAACCCTGGCCATTTGGAACACTGGACACATCGTGCCCTGGACATTATGAACCCTGGCCTCTTTGAATATACCCTATCTGCGGCCAGTTGGCCGCATTTGGACCATGCAATCCCTGGACATTATGAACTCTGGCCCATTTAACCCTATTCCTGGCGGGGGGGGGGGCCTCAGGAGCCCCCCTGAGGTTTTTTTGGTTATTTCTCCCAAACGCGTTGAGCTAGGAAGCTCAAATTTTCTGACTTTTCCTAAAAGGCTTCTACGCAACATGTCTGAAAATTTTGAGTTGATCTGACCTCAGGTCAGGTCACCAGAGGCGGTTTGGTGACCCTACCTCAGAAAAGTTTGCAATCACGCCAGAGCTAGAGTTTTTGACCGATCAATTTCTTCTCTTCAGGCTTTAGTTAGGGTACCAGTATGTGCAATTTGTATATCTCGGAATTTGATATCGGTGACCTAAGGTCAGGTCAGTTTCGCGACCTCCCCATTATAAGTCAATGGGGGAAAAATCAACTCCCTGTTTTTACCACTAAAACGGGTCGGAATGGCCCCATATACCATACATGACTTCATATACGATCAACCTTCACTACCTTGAGGTCTGTTTTGCTGTTGGGCAGCTGTGAGGTCATGTGACGTCATCAAAGGTCACCAAAGGTTTTTGGCCAATAACTCCGTACAGGAACAAGATACAGACGCGTGGATGGTCTCATTGTGTTCAGCTCGTCAAGACGCATCGAATGATATACATGATGACCTCGAGGTCACGTGACCTGAGGTCAACCTTTGACCTTGACCTTGCGAGGTCAACATATATATCATTCGATGCGGATTGACGAGAGGATCACGATGATGCCCTTAGTTTGTTCCTATCTTGACTAATTCGAAAGTTATTCGAGAAAAACTCTCTCCATATCTAGCGCCGCCATTTTGACTTTTTCGACCCCTGTGACGTCATCATTGACCTGACCTGAAAATGACCTTTGTAAAAATTGTAGATCTTGACCGTGCGTATCCGATGCCGTTTACCGTTTGTCGCTATCTTGCTTCGTTCTCGAGATCTCAGGGGGGGGGGCCGAATCGGCCCCCCCCCCCGCCAGTTTCTTTTCCCGGCGGAGCCCGCCAGGAATAGGGTTAAGGCACTGGCCATTTCGACACTGGGCATAACGGACCCTGGACATCATGAACCCTGGCCAGAATGAATGCTCCCCCATACTGAGCCCAGGTCCTGCTGCCACCTATCGTCGGTTGCTGGAACCAAAGGTGGCATACTGAGCCCAGGACCTGCTGCCACCTATCGTCGGTTGTCGGAACCAGAGCCGGCAGCCTGAGCCCAGGACCTGCTGCCACCTATCGTCGGTTGTCGGAACCAGAGGCGGCAGACAGCCGTGGACTGTCGACCTTTGGGACTGCCAGTGGCCGCTGCACGTGTGGAGTCTCAGTCTGGGAGAGGCGTACCGAGTACGGACGGAGCCGGAGGAGAGGGCAGGACGGACAGAGCAGACGAGGTGAGGTCAGCTGGTGGGGTCAGGGAGAGGACACAGAATGTCACACACCTCTGTGGGGATGAGGGGTTGGCTAAACAGTGTGGTCTTTGTCGGTATTTCTCAGGGGCTCGTTCGCAGCGCTTGGTATCGTGTAGCGTGTTGTAGGCATGGCCGAAGCTGAGCTCCCATTAGTTGTACAAGGATATACCCATGTTTTGTTCTTTTCCATGTTTTTCCATGCACTTAGTCCAAAAAAAAAATGTTTGTTAGCGCAGCAAATATTGATATACCTAATGCTCTGAGCCTATATAAATAAACCCCTCACGCTAACCCATCCTAGCCTTCAACCAGTGGAGCTTGGTGTTCCGTGTGCTGCGTAGGTGTATTATCTCAGGTAATACTCCATGCTGGATTATCTCAGATTAGGTTTAATCGGGGGTGGGGTCTTTACCTCAGTGGATTATCATGGCAATTTACTACACTAATAAGTGTCATGTCAATATTCAAGACATCATAAAACATGGTTAGGAACAAAATTAACAATCTGAAACAGGGGCGGATCCAGGAAAACTCCAAGGGGAGGGTCATGAATCGAAGTGGTGCCCCTACCTATACCCAAAATTAAAAACTCAACGGATTTCGTCCACTTCATTTTGGTGGTGCCCCCATTTTCAGTTTTTTAATTTTTATTTTTTATTTTTAGTCAGTATCTTACCTCTTAGCCACAACCACATTTACCAATTGTAAGCAAGTATATATGAATGTGCTATGTGTATATATGTTGTGGACGCTGAGTAATGAGTACTTACCAGGAACGTTATCAGGTAAGCAAATCGTTGTCAGTCCGACGAACTTGACCCTGGCGTCTAAAGGGTCTGTCCTTGACACTTCAGGCTTGTCAGGGGCACCGAAGTCCTTCCAGGGACACCACAAACCTGTCAGGGGCACCTACGGCCTTGTAGGGGCGCCACAGGCCCGCCAGGGGCACCACAGGCCTGCCAGGAAGCAGGGGCACCACAGGTCTAGCAAGTATACACGACAGGCCTGTCAGGGGCACAACGGGCCTGTTGGGCCCATGAGCACCCCTAGGGGCAGGGGCACCACAGTCCTTCCAGGGGCACCGCAGGCCTGTGAGGGGCACCAGCGGCCTAGCAGGGGCACCAGTCAACACAGGCCTGCCAGGGGCACCACAGACCTGCCAGGGGCACCAGAGGCCTGCCAGGAGCACCACCGACCTCGCAGGGGTAACTTGGGCCTGTCAGGGCCCAGGGGCACCACGGGCCTGTCGAGAGGCACTTCAGGCTTTTCAGGGGCACCATAGTCCTCTCAGGGCGCAGGGGTAGCAGGGGCACCAGAGGCCTGCCAGGGGCACTACAGGCCTAGCAAGGGCACCACTGGTCTATCAGGGGCACCACGAGCCTGTCATAGCCAGGCATCTCAGGCTTGTCAAGGCCCAGCGGCACCACAGGTCTGTGCGGGGCACCAGCGACCTAGCAGGGGCACCAGTCAACACAGGTCTGCCAGGGGCGCCACAGACCTGTCAGGGGCACCACAGACCTGCCAGGAGCACCAGAGGCCTGCCAGGGGCACCACCGGCCTCGCAGGGGCACCTTGGGCCTGTCAGGGGCACGACGGGCCTGCCGAGTGGCACTTCAGACTTTTCAGGGGCACCAGTCCTCTCCGGGCGCAGGGGCACCAGAGGCCTGCCAGGGGCACCAGCGGCCTAGCAAGGGCACCAGAGGCCTGCCAGGGGCACCAGCGGCCTAGCAAGGGCACCAGAGGCCTGCCAGGGGCACCACAGGCCTAACAAGGGCACCACGGGCCTGTCAGGGGCACCTCAGGCTTGTCAGGGCCCAGGGACACCACAGTCCTTCCAAGGGCACCGCAAGCCTGTCAGGGGCACCAGAGGCCTGCCAGGGGCACCACAGGCCTAGCAAGGGCACCTCTGGCCTGTCAGGGGCACCTCAGGCTTGTCAGGGCCCAGGGGCACCACAGTCCTTCCAGGGACATTACAAGCCTGTCAGGGGCACCAGAGGCCTAGCAAGGGCACCACAGGCCTGCCATGGACACCACAGGCCTGCCAGGGGCACCACCGGCCTTGCAGGGGTGCCTCAGGCCTGTCAGGGGCACCACGTGCCTGCCGGGGACACTTCAGGCTTGTCAGGGGCGTTACAGTCCTGTCAGGGCCCAGGGGCACCAGGCCCGTGGTGTCCCTGCTAGGCCTGTGGTGCCCCTGTCAGGACTGTGATACCCCTGATAGGCCGGTGGTGCCCCTGGAAGGTCTTTGGGCCCCCGGGCCTCAAGGGGGGGCCATGACCCATGTGACCCCCCCTTGGATCCGCCCCTGATCTGAAAATCATTTGGACGTCAGCCTCCGTTTTACCGCGGGGAAGTCCCTCTGGCGCGGTTCGCTCCATGCACGTGGGGGAGGGAAGTCCCTTTCTGCCGTTGGGCGCGACTGGCGGTTGCCATGGAGACGCCCCTCAGCTAGTAGCTACCTACCGGTAGCTACCTGGATGAGGAGCTCGTCTGAAGAGTTTAGTCAGGTCAAGGCCCTATATCAGGTCAGGTCAGGTCAGGTTATATACTGGTCAGCTCAGATTTGACGACATATTTCCTATGTGACTTTTATCTCATTACGTTTTATAGAACCGTTTAAGTTATTGTCGCGGTGTTAGAAAATAGCGTGGAATAACTATACCTAACGTCTCTTGCTGACCCCTGGTTACCTAATAGCAGACCTTATGAGTTATATCAGGAAGGGATGGATTATAACTAAGAGATGTCAATCGGATACCAACTAGAGTTGCAAAGTTTTCCCCAAAGGCTGCTACCGGCACCGCCCCGCCCCACAAATGTTTTTGGGGATACCGGCATGCTACCACGCCCAAAGCAAAAAAAACACCACCAAATTACCGGCATACTAAAAAATCTGCATTGTTGATTCCAGTTTACCCCTACAAGAGATGCCACATTTTCCTCTTAGTGTCCAAAGTTTGAATCATATGCTAATATTTTTTTTGTGCAAAACCAAAAATACCGGCATGCTACCGGCAAGACATGCCAGATACCACAAAAAACCTGCGGTAGTGAAAAATTACCGACATGCCGGTAATGCGGTAGGGAAACTTTGCAACTCTAATACCAACGTTTTTGGTATAATGAAACCAAACCATTGTCATCCCGGTTTGGTATTGGCTTTCCAATAATTTGGGATGAACATCACTGGGGCATTCCACGATAGATCGACCAAAAAAACTTAAAATTTACACCCGCATATTTTATTTTTTGCTTAAAATTGGTCTAAGGGGTTGTGATGGGCGGGGAACCCAGCTGTGGCAAGGATTTTTTTCTTCGAACAACGGTTTCCGAGATATAGCCTCGGGCAGTTCCTGGAGGTCACGCTGCAACCCTATGTTTGGCGGCTTATAACTAAGAAACTATTGGTTTTCTATGGTAAAAACTTGATATGTTTCAACTCGCAATCAACCAACAAACGTTTTGGCTATCTCAGATTTTCGAATTTTGAAAATTTTGATCACGTGACATCTTGACCTTTTTTTTCGAAGAGTGACCTTGATAGTTTCCCAACTGAAAGTCGCAATTTTGTCTGATGGCGATTAAAGCCTTATCAATTGTCATTCATATGCGATAATAAAAAAGTGGCTTTTGGCCTGCGTTGACCTCAGGTCAGGTCATTTTTATGACCTTCCCATCATTACGAGCGGGAGCGACAGCGAGATCTCGAGAACAAAGCAAGATAGCGACAAGCGGTAAACGGGACAGGGTACACATGGATAAGGTCTACAATTTTTACTCAAGTCATTTTCAGGTCAGGTCAAAGATGACGTCACAGGGGTAAAAAGAAAGTCTAAATGGCGGCACTACATATATATGAAGTTTTTCTCGAATAACTTTCGAAGTATCCCAGCTAGGAACAAACTAATAGCACCATCGTGATCCTCTCGTCGATCCGCATCGAAACATGTGTATGTTGACCTCGAAAGGTCAAGGTCAAAAGTTGACCTTAGGTCACGTGACCTTAAGGTCGTCATATACATCATTCGATGGGCCTTGACGAGTTGAACACAATGAGCCTATCCGCGTGGCTGTATCTCAAACCTGTAAGGAGTTATCAGCAAAAAACATTTGGTGACCTTTAATGACGTCACATGACCCAAGAGCAACGTCACAGTTGACCAAGAGCAAAAAAGGTCTCAAGGTAGTCAAAGTTAGTCGCATATGGAGTCACTCATGGTATATTAGGCAATTCCGACGCGTTTTAGTGTAAAAATAAGGGAGCTGATTTTTTCCCCAATTGACTTATAATGGGGTGGTCAAGAAATTGACCTGACCTTAGGTCATCGGTATCGAAATTCAAAACGAACTGGCGCTAGGCGAAAGCAAACGGATTGGTGCCTATTCTACGTCTCTTTCTTTATTAGATTAAAAGGTACAGCCAAAACTATTTTGACTTCCTTTTTACCCCTGTAACGTCATCTTTGACCTGACCTGAAAATGACCTCAGTAAAAATTGTAGACCTTATCAGTGTGAATCCTGTATCGTTTGCCACTTGTCGCTATCTTGCTTTAGTCTCGAGATCTCGCTGTCGCTCCCGCTCGTAATAATGGACAGGTCATAAAAATGACCTGATCTCAGGTCAATGCAGGCCGAAAGCCACTTTTTTATTGTCGCATATGAATGACAATTGATAAGGTTTTAATCGTCATCAGACAAAATTGCGACTTTCAGTTGGGAAAATATCAAGGTCACTCTTCGAAAAAAAGGTCAAGATGTGACGTGATCAAAATTTTCAAAATTCGAAAATCCGAGATAGCCAAAACGTTTGTTGGTTGATTGCGAGTTGACCATATCAAGTTTTTAGGATAGAAAACCAATAGTTTCTGAGTTATAAGCCGCCAAACATAGGGTTGCAGCGTGACCTCCAGGAACTGCCCGAGGCTATATCTCGGAAACCGTTGTTCGAAGAAAAAAATCCTTGGCACAGCTGGCTTCCCCGCCCATAACAACCCATTCGACCAATTTTAAGCAAAAAATAAAATATGAGGGTGTACGGCTTTGGTCGATCTATCATGAAATGCCCCCACTGATAAGTAATCCACAGCGAAGGAAGGCCGCGACTCACCAACGGAGTGATTACTGGGAATCCCGTCCTTCCATTTGGACCACGGCTCGGAGATCTGACCGGTACGGCGGGCCGTGCCTACCTCCCTCTCTCTCTCTCTCTCTCTCTCTCTCTCTCTCTCTCTCTCTCTCTCTCTCTCTCTCTCGCTCTCTCGCTCTCTCGCTCTCTCGCTCTCTCGCTCTCTCTCTCTCTCTCTCTCTCTCTCTCTCTCTCTCTCTCTCTCTCTCTCTCTCTCTCTCTCTCTCTCTCTCTCTCTCTCTCTCTCTCTCTCTCTCTCTGGCTCCAGTTGCTCTCTACCTGTGTTTCTGCCGCCTGAACACACAGACACGGAACTGATCCACGACCGAGTCAGCCGACGGAGACACGACACCGCGGGTCGGGTGGCCGGTGCTCGGTGTCGGGGGTAGACAGGGGTCAGCGGGGTCAGCGGGGGGGGGGGGGAGAGGTTGTGGAGGGAGGTGATACGGCGAGAGAGTCCGTGAACACCCTCGGCTGAGTTCACGGCGGGTGGGGAAAACAGACATGAAACCTCGTACGAACCAACTGTGGCTCACGCAGCACGCCTACACCAGCCTCTGACGTAAAAAAGTAGCTCCGTAAAGGCCTCGCCAGGAGTCGTATCTCCCCCTATCCACTCGTTATGAGAGAGGGTCTGGCCAGATCAGGGCTGAGGAAAGGGGTTATTCTATACGTACCGCATCATAGTGTCTCGAAAACTTCGTTACTTTACCCGTGAGCTGCTGGATGAGTTAACGCCCCACTTTTTTCGCCGCGCTTAAAAAAACGGCCGCGTCGCAGGAGTGCCAAATTCTGGTTGCATGTAGGGAATCCATTGAAGTTCATTGCGATGAAATTTCAAACAAATTGGTGGGGAAAATTAAGGTTGAGGTTTTAGTGACGTCATGACTCCTGGTTTTCCGACCAACAACGGTATGTGTTAAAAAATCTTAACACGCGCACTGCAGGGGGGGGGGTTGTTTTCAACCCCCCCCCCTGTGGTTTTTCGCAAATTGCGAGAAAACGGCGGCGCGTAGCGCCGCCAAATTTTGCATACCTGTTCTCACAACTTTTCCACACCTTGAGTAAAAATTTTGACCCCAGGTGACCTATGGTCAGGTCACCAGGTCAGGTCAAGTGACCCTACCTCGAAACGTAAATTTCGAAGTTTGCAATCCCACCAAGCCCACAGTTGTTGAGATATGATCTTGAAACCCACAGGAAATAGTAAAGTCATCACGAGCTACAACTTGTATATCTCGGAATTTTTATATCGATGACCTAAGGTCAGGTCATTTTTGCGACCGGCCCATTATAAGTCAATGGGAGAAATTTCAACTTACTCTGAATGCCATCCTATGACTTCAATACGCTCAGGATCATAGTATTACAGGTCCCTGTTGGTGATTTCACCGAAACATATCACTTATGACCTTTGGAAGGTGATCTCCAGGTCATCTTAGGTCACCTGAGGTCACCAGCGGTTTTTCTTCAATAACTTGAGATTGAGTAGAGATAGAGACTCCGTTCGACGTTTATCGTGTTTTTCTCGTCAATGCGGATCGAATGATATGCAACATGACCTATTTCGGTCAGGTCATGACCTTGACCTGAGGTCAAATTTTCAACTTGACCTTTCGAGGTCATATTATATATCATTCGATGCGCCTTGACGAGCTAAGAACGATGGCGTTCGAATCGATCCTCTGTCTTGTGTGCAAGACAAGTTATTCAAGAAAAACTACCGCGAAATTCCTGTTGTGAAAATCGTAACATTTTGTCTTCGGTGACCTCTGGTGACCTCGTTTTTGACCTGACCCAAAAATGATCTTAGTATTTCTTGTCGATCTCATCTTAACCTATCCAACGCCGTTTACCGCTTGTCGCTACGTTGCGCCGTTTTCGAGATCTCAGGGGGGGTTGTTTTCAACCCCCCCCCCCCTGCAGTTCGTGTTCGGCTCAGACCCGCTGCAGTGCGCGTGTTAAACTCACAGAATAGCCATAGACACATGCCGTTAAGGCCATTAGACTGTTTCAGGTGAAACCGTTCTCTCAGTCTTATATACCGTACGTTCTCTGTTTTAGAAATGGAGCCCAGGCAGCTCCAAGAGGAGGTTATCCAGATGAAAGAAGAGATGGCACTTCTGAAGGAGGAACTGACACATCGCCATCAAGAGGGCATTGCCCGTTTGGATGTGGAACTGACCACACTGAAGAAAAACTGCGACTCACTGAGTGAACAGGTGGTCGGACTGGAGGGAGAAGTGGCCACACTGAAGGGAGACAACGCCACACTGAAGGGAGACAACGCCACACTGAAGGGAGACAACGCCACACTGAAGGGAGACAACGCCACACTGCAGGGAGACAACGCCACACTGCGTCAGGAGGTGGTCCATCTACGTGAAGAGGTGGTCCGCCTGCGGCAGGCTGTCCTCGAGGAGCGCACCACTCGCCAGGTCGTCGTGGAGGAGCTGCGGCAGGAGGTCCGCCGGCGAGCGGCGCCATCCGACCGTTCGCAGAGGTGAGACTGAGAGGCAGCAGGGGTGGCACCAGGGGCGCGGGAACTACTTTCCGACTGGGGGGGGGGGGGGGGGCACACCATAATAGAGATTAACCTAGGGTACCCCAAATCTAGTTTTCTCACCGGTTTTAGGCCACTTATTTTTCACCCCTCGGCTTTTTCAACAAAAAAGAAAACATTTGCAAAAAAAAGTGTGGTATTCCGTCTCAAAGCTGTGGGCGGGCACCGCCCCCACGGCCCCAGAGTTGGGGGGGGGGGGCAAGCTGCCCCCACTGCCACCCCCCCCCCGGCTCCCGCGCCTATGGGTGGCACTGGGGTTTAGTCGTTGGGATGACGTTAGGGGGTTAACAGTGGGAGTTAGTCGGTTTTGACTGCAAGGGATTGTGAATAGTTTGTAAGAGTCAAACTGGTTGTGTAGGTGTAGACAGTTTGTAAGAGTCAACCCGGATATGTAGAGAGTTCGTTTGTAAGAGTCAACCCAGTTGTGTAGACAGTTTGTCTGTAGATTTGACCCGGTTGTATGGACAGTTTGTCTACATATAAGAGCCGAACCGGTTGTGTAGACAATTGACAGTTTGTAAGAGGCAACTCGGTTTTCTAGACAACTTGTCTGTGAGTGACTGTGAGGCAGCAGGCTGCAGGGTGGGACAGGGATTGGGGGGAGGGGACACTAGATGGGCTTTCACAGATCGATGGTACGGTGCTGTCTTGGAAGTGGAGACGTCTGAAAATTATCGTCTAATGTCCGACCTCTGATGACGTCACACCACGTCACACTGACGTCATTCCTTCCCAGTGACGGCGAGGAGGTGGCTTCTCCGAAGGGCGACACTTGCGACAAGTGTGACGCCATCAGCACCTGTGACGTCATCACCCAAGCTGAGGAGGAGGCGGGACTGGCGGGCGGCGACGTGCGAGAGGCTGCACCGCGATGGGCTTCTGCCATGTGTCTCTTGGACCACGAGCTGTTGAAGATGGTGTTGAGCAAGATGGACTGCTGGGAAATGATCCGCGCCAGGCGGGGTGAGTATTCTGACGACTGACATTGTATGCAGGATGGTAGAAAAGAAGGTAGTAGATCATGCTTCATTGGAATATGTAGGTGCTTAGTGGAGTATTCTGTATTTTTACCTAGGATTCGGAGAGTTTGGCAATAAATAGTCTATCACGGGGCAAATTGAACGGGGTTAGGCTGGTACGGGATTCACACGTAGATGGATGGCTGCTCGGAATACCATTCTCATAGAAAAGCGAGTTATGTCTTACAATTAACCTTCCAGGCGGTGGGGGGCATTTTTTGCCCCCCCTTTAGTTTTTTTTTTTAAATATATCTCGAGAACCGCTGCGCCGATCGTCACCAAACTTTCAGTACCCTCCCGTGAATAGCTATTGCACATTGTGACCTACAATTTTTCCAAAGGCTATGATAGGTTGGACGCTAGTGACGTCAGTGTGACGTCATTTCTGCTATTTTTGACCCAAAAAAAGGTTTCGCGAGAAGAGCTGTCAGGCCTACAGCTTTAGAGATACATAAAAATATTTATATCATAAAAGGTGTAGAATTTCAAGGGCTACAAAACCGCTATCTCGGATTTTTGAAATTTTTGGATTTTGACCCCTAAAATAAAAAATAGATTTTTTGAATATAATAGCCGAAAAATCAAACAAGTTTTTTTGAATTTCGAAAAAACCCGGAAGATATGTGATAGCTCCTACTGCCTTCTATATACATACCAAATTTGAGATCGATGCCTCTTTTTTGCCAAGTTATAGCGAAAAAAAAAACTGTTCAAAATTGATGACGTCAAATTTTCAAACTCAATTTTTAGCAAGTCTAGACCTCGTAGCGCAAAACAAAGACCACCATTATACTCTCCGTGACGAGCTGCATCGAATCAATACCCATTTTATGCAAACTATCCACTTTGAAATTTGACCTTTATTTGACCTGACCTTGACCTGACCTCCACCAGAAAATGACCTAAACCGTACCTGATGGTCTTATAACCAACACCATTGAATTGGAAATGAAAAACTGGCCATAAAACATGCATCGCACAACCTTAGTAAAGTTGGGGTCATGTGGTGACCCATGGTGCCTTTGGTGACCTGACCTGTGACCTGACCTGGTATGACCAGTGACCTCTAATAGCAACATATGTACTAGACAACTGACGCCCTATCGCTGATTTTCGACAAAATGCGTTTTACTCGGTGTTATAGCGCTTTCCCTAGAAGCCCCGTGAACGGTGAAACATTTTATCTTTGACCTGACCTGTGACGTCATCAGTGACCCCGAGGTCAATGAAATTTAGTTTCCGTCGACAAATTTGACAGGGCTATCGAACGCCGTTTGAATTTTCCGGATTTGTGCACTAGTTTTGGAGATACGGGGGGCAAAAAAATGCCCCACCCCCACTGCGCGAAAGGTGGCCGGGAGGCCCACCGCCTGCCGGGTGAAACACACAAACGCTGTCTATACAAGCATTGACGTTCCTGTCAAGGTGCTCGATGCAACCCGTTCCTTTTTTCTTTTATGCCGACAGTCTGCCGTCGGTGGCGGTCTGCCGTCGACGATATCTTCAGCGACTGTCGGCGGGAGCAAACCGATCAGCAAGCCCACAGTGGAGAGGTCACTGCACCGGCCACGAGCCTAGAGCTCGTGTTGAAAGTGCAGGACCAGCCGAAGCTGACCGAACTGCGGGCGCCGACCGCTGAGACGGACACCGACCTCCGACTGGTCGGTGAGTCCTGTGTGAAACGCGCTACACACGAACTGGTACGCTTTGTCCCGCTGCAACTGTCATTCCTTGTCCATATAAGCGAACACTTCTTCAGTGACTGGTGTTGCTTTATTCCAGCAGCCACCTGCCACGCCCTGGAGAAGGCTAACCTGCGCGGCTTTAAGCTGCGGGTCTCTGCCCTGCGCCGGCTGGCGCGTGTCAACGCCTCCAGTCTGCGTGAGCTGACGCTGCCGGCCGGTATCAGCGACTGGCAGCTGGAGGCGCTGCTGGAGCCGCTGAAGGCTCTGGAGCGGCTCGATGTGAGCCCACCCGTGGACAGCTCCGGCAAGTGGCTTCGGCTGCTGCCCAAGTCGCTGAAGAGACTGGACATTACTGGTGAGAAGGGTTGTGGGATATCCTTCCAGGCGGTGGGGGGGGATTTTTTGCCCCCCCCTTTAGTTTTTTCGATATGTGTCAAGAACCGCTGCGCCGATCGTCACCAAACTTTCAGTACCCTTCCGTGAATAGCTATTGCACATTGTGACCAATTTTTTTTTCCAAAGGCTATGATAGGTTGGACGCTAATGACGTCAGAATGACGTCATTTCTGCGTTTCTGCATTTCTGCATTTCTGGGCGCGGTATACTCAGACCCCTAGCGGGGCGCGTTTTAATTGTTTCTTTCGGCACAGGATCCGGAATGACAAGAGCGCCACTGAGGAACCCCCGTTGGCCGACGTCTGGACTGGATGTTGGTGTACAGCTAGCAACGGACACACTCCTGGACCAGCTGGCTGCTCTGGCGACCCGCACAGTCACGGGGCTGTTCATTTATGGTGAGTAGCAGCATGAGTAAAGCATAGAAAGTTACGTAGTGTTGTGTATGTTGCATTATGAAAGGGTGATGTTACTCTTCCGTTGTCTCAAATTACTCTAAAAGAATACAAAACTCATTGCGCCTGTCGTCCGGCTCTCGCCGGTATTGCATGCCTGTGGTGTCGCGACTGGGGCGCTAATTCATCGTTCGGTTAGGCACCTCAACAGCGACGAGTTCGATTGGCTCGAGGTTAACCAGTTAGAAGTGTGGCCCACATCAAGGAGTTCAGATTAATGGTGCTTGTGGAGAGCCCGATATTATGCGTTACGCGCTTCGTAATTATTTTATCTTGCTATCAATAGTTACTGCTGGGATCTGGGCCACGGTGATCGCAACGTGTGTACATATGCACTTATGGCTTCTGTGTTTATGTTTTACAGACTCACCGTCCGTGACACCGGAAGCGACGGGACGCCTCCTGACTGTCCTCACCAGCTTGAAGGACGTCGGTGTTTTCGGACCCGGCGTCATTTGCGACACTGCGCTGTCCGCCCTCCACGGCTGTTCCCAGCTGGATACGGTGGAGTTCAAAGACACCCGGCCCCTCACGTACATCCCTGCCCTGACCCAGTCAGAGGTGGCAGCGGTCTGCAGGTCAGTCGGCCGGACGGCGCCGGCGGATATAACGTGTATCTGGATAGACCGCAATAACCCCAGCGATAACCGTATTCGTTGGAGGTATACATAGGAGTACGGGCACAGGGACGTTAAAAATGAATAAAGCAATACAGAATAATAGGCATCCACCGACAGACACTTTGATGCAAGTAATTAAATGTATATGAACACAAACAAGACAGACGGACGGGCAGATACGTTACTGGGGTGGTACTATTTTAATATAATATAGAAATAATGTATGTGGGGTCAGGGGTGGCATAAAACTCATTGTATCGTGTGAAACATTCGTAGCTGATTGCAGCACCAGACTGGGAACTTGAGATAGCCGGAGGCACATATGTTCTGTTATGAACGGCATTGGAACTACATGGTGTTTCCGTGTTGAGTCGCCCGCTGGTGCCACTGTGTGACTGTGTCCCGTATACTGACCTGTTCTGTTTTGTTGTAATCTGTTGCAGGATGGCAGTGACCTGCAGGAAACTGTATAGGCTGTTCCTAACCTCCTCACTCGAAAACTGCCAGGCCGTCCTGACCGCCCTGCACGAGACAGACCTAGGATGTGACAGTGACCAGTCCCGTACCATCGAGCTCCTGGTCCCAAGTAAGTGACGGCGTCTCGACCACCCACACCAGCCGACACGGCGCCACCGGCCTCTCGGACACGCACTCTGACGCACGTGACGACGTCACCAGTACTGACGTCACAATTGGTTACGTGTATCCCCGTAAGTGACGTCACAGTATCAGTATCAGCCCTCATGACGTCATTAGCCAGGAGATACAAAGTACACACATTTGTTTGTTTTGTTTCTGTATCTATGGGTGACGTCATCCTGTCTGAGTTGCCCAAGATTAGTTGCCCCATGTAACATCACTAGCAATCAGTGTGTAATCTGACATGCTCTATTTTCCAGAGTCTGTACTCGACAAGCTTACCAAGCCTCCCAACGGCAGCAAAATCTGCTTGGACTACATCACGTAGACGACGTACGTATGTACCTTCCCGGTGCTTCGTCCGCTCTGTTGACGGCGGCAGTGTCGGAACTCGACAACAGATGGCAGCACCGTGTCTAGTCTGTAGTGTCGGAACTCGACAACAGATGGCAGCACCGTGTCCCGTCGGCAGCGCTGTACGGGGCACAATACACATCTAGACCTTCATATCCAGAAGTGCCTCGAGCCGCCCTGTCCCATCGGCTCAGGTCCGTGGGTACTTCTTTACCGCCGTGCCAGGCTGGTTTGGGTTGAGTGGCCACCTAAATGCTTGATCATTTGAGCACAGATTGCTACGTTTGTTGACACTGCTTTGATAGACACTAGTTATATTCAGTATCCGAGATGTATCACGCTCTGGGCCACTGTCCAGCCGTCGGTAAACCGTTGTCACCGTGCCGGAGGTACCGCCGTGGTGACGTCACGTGTGTTGTCGTGACGTCACGCTGGCTCACACCACTGCACTGTGCTGTTGTGTTGTAGTTTCAGTTTAGACCCAGGTTTAGACGAGAGAGTGGTTGTAGCTAGCTGTGAGGGTGGCCGGTCCGGGCGATATCCGACCTCGCCCGTCACTGTGTCGGACCGTCGGTGGTCCGGTCGGCTTTGGTTCATTTGGACCAGATATGTCCGGTTCGGTGTCGCTCATGGGATAGCACGGGCTGATGGCGATTGAAATACACAGTGGTTCAGACGTTAAGGGGAAGTTGGGGGAACGCCGAATACTTTTTTCGGACGCCCGTAGCACGCAAGGTAGACAACAAAAGCTATTTTTGTTGGCGTCATTCGAGAGGCCAGTCTTTTGCCTTTCAAACATACCAGGCGCATTTGATGAATTCGCATACCGTTAAGCGCACAAACTAAAAATATCAAAGAAGTGACTTTTTCGACGTTGCCCCGGACTGTGGGGAAAGCCGAAAATGGGAGAAATGATCTACGGGGAATGCCGACATTGATGTTTTCCCACTTTCTCTCAAACTTTATCCAGAATTTATCAAAGCTGACACGCGTTTTAACCCTCGCCCATGTAGGGGGGGGGGTTGGTGCAACCCCCCCCCCCTGAGGTTTTTCGGAAATAGTGCAAAAACGGCGGCGCGCAGCGCCGCCAAATTTTGGGTACCTTATGGGGCAAACCTTGCGCATCTTTTGATAAAAAAATTTTGACCGGGTCATGTCAGGTCACGGAGTTATGACGTCACAAAGGGAACAGCCTCCGGCCGGATTTTCACAAACTGAGTGCCAACGCCCGAGGTTTCCTGCCGGTGGTACGGACATCGGTTGATGGATCGTGATGAAACTTCCCATGCATGTTGGGGCAAGTATTGGCTATCATATGGTATAAGAAACTTGACCGGGTCAGGTCAGGTCACGGAGCTATGACGTCACAAGAGGAACAGCGTCCGGTACTATTTTTGAAAAGCGCCCGAACCACTATTTTGCTAATTCTTGTCACCTCAATGGGAATATGCAGCAATATTAGCTTCTATAGGGAGCAAATGGACATCCCAAATCCAAAAATACAATCAGATTTCAAAAATTTAAATTTTGATTTTTCGAATTTCTGCCGCCGACTGTGACCTTGCCGACTTCCGGCGCTCCCAACGCGCCATTTTTAGAGCTAGGGAAACGAAATACATACCAAACGATAGAGAATTGATCAAGGAACACGATAGTGAAGGTTTCAAGTCGATATCTCTCACCGTTTTGCGGCAATCGCCGCGGAAAATTTGAAAAAGTCTATTTTTCCGAAAATTTGACCTTTGACCGGTCAAAAGTAGGTCAAATGTTGACCTAGGACCAAAAAATATACCACCAATCGCGAGATCTCGGCGAGAGCAATCCGTTGGTCTTTTCCGCTAAGCTCTACGACGCTCCGTTTTCAAACGCCAAGGGGGGGGGGTCGCACCAACCCCCCCCCCCTGCATGGGCGAAGGTGGCAGATCGCCGTTTACGGGCGAGGGTTAACCCGCGCGGGGCTGGGGTCTCCAGCCGAACGCGCGGGGCGGGGGGGGGGTAAATTTTACCCCCCCCCTGTTATCTCCCGAACTAATGGTCCGATTTGGAAAATTCAAACGCCAATCGAAAGCTCTCATCACGAACTACTAAAAACATGTACTTAATTTAAAGTTTGAGGTCAAGGTCAAGGTCAGGTCAAGGGTACAAATTGCAAGTTTCTACAGTATCGGCCTTGCACCGTAGTTGCCGAAGAATCGAGTCATGGACTGAGACTGATCGCCCAAAACGTGTTCTTAGGCTACCAAGACAATATTCGTTGCATACAATATCATTCAGAGGTCAAGGTCAAGGTCAGGTCAGGTCAGGTCAGGTCACCAAAAAACAAAATTTAGAAAAGGGCATGTGCGACACATGTTTAATGGGTCATTTTACTCATAGAATTCAATAGGCACACTCAATAAGTGATATGGACCATCTCTGGATGAATTTCAGGTCGAGGTCAGGTCAAGGTCAGGTCAAGTGAGGTCAAATTTTGAAGTTGGTTGTTAAGGCCTAAAAAGGTGTCTATCTGATGCAGTTTTTCACGGCGAATCGAATGGTGCTATTTTTGTTTCCGTACGAGGTCTAGAACTTCCAAAAAAGTCATTTTTCAAAAATTTTGTGTGTCGTGACGTCATAAAATTTTGAATAACTCCCACATTTTTGAACCGATTCTTCTAAAATTTGGTATGTAGGTGCACATAGACCACTTCTCTGACATATATTCCGGTTTTTTCGATAGACTCAAAATTTTGGATTTTATAATGATTTTCCCAAAAAAGTCAGTTTTTTGAAAAAATTTAGGCCAAAATCCAAAATTTTCAAAAAACCGAGATAGCCATTTGATAGACAAAGTAAAATTACGTATAACCTTTTTTGTTACGTCTTGATTCCTTTAAAAATGAAGATGTTAGCGGCGTTTGAACTTTTGCCGTTTTTGAGGCGAAAATGGCGAACATGACGTCACTAAAACGTCAATTTCTCAAAAATTTTCCGACGGATTTCGCTCAAATTTTCAGGGAAGGTGTCAAATTGATGTAAGAAAAGGTACTGAAAGTTTGGCGGCGCTGCGCGCCGCCGTTTTTGAGATATCGCAAAAATTCGCGAGGGGGGTAAAATTTACCCTTCCAGCCCCGCGCGGGTTAAGAGCTTGAGGACGCTTGGTGCACACTGGAAGTTATAATTGTGTGATATAATAAGAAAATGCCAGGTAAATAATTCCTTATAGGTAACAGGCCGTTGTGTCGGTTGAAAGTGTAATTTGTGTGACTAAAAATTCGCGTTGCTATTCTACAGCAGTCAAGTCCACGTAGCGTGCTTTAACCCTCGCATGTGTGCGGCGTTTGCCAGCTTCTAATGTGTAGGGGGGGGGGGGGGGGGTCGGCAGAGGTGCACAAAAAGCCCAGCCTGTCTCCTACACGGTCTCCGATGGCTCCGGTTTGTCTCACCGATCATCTTTAGGTATATCCAAGCATATCTATGCTTTCAAGTAAAGCTGGTTATATTTCATTACAGTTATTCATATTTACAGGACGTAAACGCTATTCCTGAAGTGTGTTTCTTTCTGAAGCTATCCGCAGATATATCGTCATTTTTTAAGAAGCCGAGACATACGGTTATGCATTGCTTTGGGCAAAGTGCGAGGCAGGGCTTGGTATGTACACCTCCACCTGAAATGCATACTGGTGGTGTATAAATAGACTAGAGTGAGGCGGTCTAGTTGTTGACTGTGTCTGGAAACACTTGGAAAGTCGAGAACTACCCTCATAAAACCATAGGGACGCCCAATTAATTCCTCTCATCCAATGAGGGTTCAGTTCCACATGGACCAGACGGGCGTCCATCGGCCGTCCCATAGCGTCCCTCTCCCGTTTAGTGGGGCAGTTACTTGGCGGGCTGAAGGTGAAGTGACCTAACGCTGCAGTGTGCGGTGCACATCAGTGTTTCTGTTTAGGAATCTGAAACTTTAAGGAGTGTGTAACAAGTTGTTTTCCTGGATCAACATTACTTCATTTAGGTAAGAAAACATTTGAGGACGATTTTGCAATATTTGCTAATGGAACGAAGCCCATGAAATTGCGATGGAATACCTATCATATTGAGAAGGACCACAAACTTTCAGAAAACGTTTTGACTGTAGGCTTTAAGAAGCATCCTTTTATAATCCATCGCCGACTACATATATAGTGCAATGTATACACATTTCACGTGCATCGCTAATCTCTTGGCTAATACAGATCCTGGTATAATTTTTTTACTTAGCAAACCTCAGCTGTCATGAATTTTCACGACGCATTCATACATTACAGTTTAGAGGCAGATAAATCCGATATTGCTGTTTTCTGCGCGGATCTGTGAGGTCGGTCCCTGCCATGGATGGTGTGAGACCATCCATGCTGCCGATCGTTCGACGCGCTATTTTTATTAGGGGTTATATGACCGAAGGACATCGACGGCCGACGGAAATGCCTCGCCTGGCGGGGACACCAATGTGGAACACGCTGCCGGTTTTTCCGAAGTAAAACTGGAGATTTGCTAGACAAAGTTAGACTGAGTGAAATTAATGTACTTAGCCATATGAAAGCAAATGTTTGACAGAAAGTAAGCGGCCATTTTGTCGCTGCTGGAGACAACTGCCGGAAAGCTAACTGCATTCCCGCAACATCCAATTTCTCATCGATACGTATCAAAGTGAAGCAGGGCCATATTATTTTTCTTAGGATGTCGGAATATAGCAACATGTTAAAATACCAAAAAAGGTGCATTGTCCTTGTTCATAACGCAGCCTTTGTTCTGGGTCTGTGCCTTTGGATGGATCTCATGTAGTGCTTAAAATCTTTAGAAAAATGCACTAAGTATCCATTTGAATTATTACTTATGCCAACATGAATGGTAGAATTTGTTGTCAAGTCTAGATGTGTTTCCTCCACTCTCAATGACTGATAAATGTTTTGCTGAGTAATGTTTTGTAATCTATTAATTTCTATGCCAGTGGTGGCTCAAATATCCTGTTATAGCTGTGCAATGTCTAATCTTATATTGTTTAAATAAAGTTAGGCAAATTCAACTGAAATTATGACTGTGATATTTGAAATATGTCATCTGATTGACCTTCATCATGCCAACATATATAGCCTGGGCAAGGATTATGTCAAAAATGGCAAGGCAAGAGGAAAATAGAACAACTCAGATTGTATTGCCACTCCTTTAGTCAGAGAATGAGGACAAGTTATAAGCAAAAAGCACCTACATGTCTTATCTTGAAATCAATGTCAAAGCCTACCTGACAACTAAGTATGGTCTCCCTCATTTTAAAATAATGCAATGCATTAGGTACTGGTACATTGCTCTGTGTGAAATTTATGGAGAACTTCACAAACCCCATTACAAATCAGTTTTATAAGCTTGTGCTTCAAATTGCTGCTTCCCACACTAACTGAAAGGCCTTTGAGCAAACTCATGAGCAAACTCCATGCCATCATATCTTGATATTGAGTAAACATGTTGACTACTTAACTGACCATTTACCTTTTTCTATAATCATATCATTCACAATTCTACACAGACCTGTAGACAACTCATGACACATTTTCCACCCACAAAATTATTATATACACAACTGAACACAAAGCATATGCTGAAAAAATCACATATCTCTGTTGCCTTTTTTTGCTATATAGGTACCTGTCAATAAAACATGAATAA